TGTTAACCCCCTCAAAGAACTCCAGCAGAGTGGTGAGACGGTTTCCTTTTACAAAAAATATGCTGGCTATTCCCCAACATGTTATATTTATCCATGCCATGGGTAAGAGTCACTGCTCTAGTTCTGAAGTTCACCTCTGGAGCCCTTTTTGAAGATGGATGTTAGTTCAGCAACCCAGCAGTTCTCTGGCATAGAAGCTGTTTGCAATGATAAGTTACATACTACTGCCAATACTTCTGCAGTTTTGTATTTGAGTCCCTTCAGAACCCTTGGGTGCACGGGTGACTGGTGCCGCCTTAGTGGGGAGCATGTACCTGACCAGTCTCGCCGACTGGGGCCCTGCAGGCAACCCTGTGGATTGGGGGGAGGTCCCCCGGGCGATCCCACACTGGCTGATCACCACAGCCACTCCCAGAAGCGGCTGCAGCGATCGGCCAGCGCTTGCAGTGGGGGCACCAGCGCTCCCACCTGCCCCCCACCCATTGCCTAAGTGGCAAGCGCGGCTGATCAGCTGGTGCACTGGTGCTCTCCCGTGCACCCCCTGTGCGTTGCCACTACTTGAGTGAATGCAGTCCAGGCCTTCTGACTTCATAATGTTTAATTTTTTATTTGTTCTAAAATCTCCTGTATTGTCACTTAATTTTAATTCAACTCTTCAAATCTTTTGGCTAAGAAAAAGTGTGGGAATCTCCTCAGTAGTCTCTGGAGTGAAGACTGATGCAAAGAATCATTTAACTTCCCAGCTATGGCCTTATCATCCCTAAATTGCTTATTGAAACATCTTCTGTGACCTTGCCAAACATCATCTTGCCCTATTCATCTCCATTTAAAATGCTGCTTGCAAAGATCTCTGTCCTAATCTATTACTTTGACTGTGTTGTCCCTTCCCTTTGCACCTGAGCATTGTCACGCTCTCTTCTATGGCATCAAACATGCATACTTTTCTCCCCTTTCAAGGCCCTTTTTAGTCTTCTCTCACCCTACCATCTTTCATTCAGTACTGAAATGTCCAGTCCAGTCTCCAGTCAGCCAATGATACCAACCTAACTGCCATTCTCAAAGAAGCACTTCAGGCTTTCTTCTCCACCACCCCAAATGCTTAGGAGGAGCTTCCTGCAAACATCCTGCAAAAGTGACTTGTCAAGGGCTAGGCTGGTTGGTGTGCTGAGTCCACTGCCCACTGTACTGATTCGCTGCTTCCATGCATTTCCTCATCTGTTTTCTCCTTTTACACTGAAATTGTAACCTCTTCGGGGCACAAAATTTTTTTGTTCTCTATTTGTGAAGCATTCACTCAGCACAAGGGGATCCTTGTTCACAAGTAGAGCTCCTAGGTAATATGCTAATACAAGTTAGTAGTAATTCAATGCATTTCATAGTTTCATAGTTTCATAGTTTTAGGGTCGGAAGGGACCTAATAGATCTTCTAGCCCGACCCCCCGCCAGGGCGGGAGAACAACAAAAAACCCTAAAAACAAAAACGGGACTCAAATGAGTCCAGCCAGGTAGGCATCCAGCCTCTTCTTAAAGACCCCCAGGGTAGGGGCCAGCACCACCTCCCTTGGAAGTTGGTTCCAGCTCCTAGCCGCCCTAACTGTGAAGTAGTTTTTTCGGATGTCATTTGATAAAGTACCCTCGGTTGGTCCCTCATCATATTGCTCTCAGGGGATCCAGACACTGGATTCCTGCATATTTTATTCTTTGGGAGTCTTGGCATAGTCTCAACACTGCCTTTCAATCTGGGGGATTCTCAGCATACTCCTCTGCTACAATAACTGTCTAGTACCCACCTAAGAAATGAAGCCCACTGTACAGCTGCCTGTGCATAGGCTCCAGCCCTGACTCCTCAGCCTCTCAATGCAGCAGAAATACTACCTTTCATAGAATCTCATCATGGGTACCAGCCTTCTGATTTACAGTGTAACTTCAAAAAGCGTGTGATAATTGCAAGCAAACAGACACAGGCACGGATAAGCTTTGGCAAGTTTCTCTATAAGACAATTATTTTAATTTAAAGCATAAGAGGATACAGATCATCAGACAAATCATACAGCACCCCTTGATTTTGCTCATACAGCCCTGAGAGTATTCATCTACACTTAAAAAGCCTTTTAAAAAGGCTTTGTGATTTTAGTTTGAACCTGCAGCTACTGTGCTTCTGCTAACAACAGTTAATCCACTGCCCACTATCCACCTATAAGATCTTTTTAAATCCCTCCTTTATCATCCCTTTGTCTCCACCATATTGCACCTCATTGACAGAAAGCTCCCACCTGGAATTGAAATTGTATATAGGATGGACAGAAGACTCGTCAACCTCAACAGACTCAAGTCCAAAACTAAGACCACAACAACATCCATAATGGAGCTCCGGTATGCGGATGCTGCTGCTGTTGTTGCTCAATCTGAAATGGACCCCCAAACCATTCTTAATGTATTCTTGGAAGTCTACAAGGCCTAACTCTAAACATCAGGAAAATGCAAGTCCTTTACTAACCTGCTCCAAATGGAGAAACAATGCCCCCCACCCATTCAAATCAATGGAGAATTGCTGGAGAACGTGGATCACATTGCCTATCTTGGAAGCCATCTTTCATCGAAGGCAGACATTGACACGAAAATGCAACACGGCTTGAAATGTGCGAGCGCAGCCTTTGGACATCTGAGTAAGAAAGTCTTCTTAAATCATGACATCCTTGCTGAAATTAAGCTCTTGGTTTATTGTCATTCCAACTCTGCTGTACGGCTCGGAATCTTGGACCACATACAGAAGATATCTCAAGAGCTTGGAAAAATACCACCGACAGTGCCTTTGCAAGATCCTTCGGATTAGCTGGGAGGATAGACGCACAAACATCAGCGTGTTGGCCGAAGCAAATTCCAACAGCATTGGAATCATGATTATCCAAAACCAACTTCGCTGGACAGGTCATGTTGTTTGCATGCCTGACTCCCACCCGCCAAAGAGAATCTTTTTCTCACAGCTGAAAGAAGGTCAGCAAAGTAGCGGAGGGCAAAGAAAGTGCTTCAAAGACACCCTGAAGGCAAACATGAAGAGGTGTAACATTGACATCAACACTTGAGACCCTTGCTCAGGACCGACCAAAATGGAGGAAGGCTCTCTGGGAGGGACCTCAACACTTTGAAATAGCTTGTAGACAGGCAGAAGAGGAAAAGAACAACAGGCAAAAAGAGCATCAGAACATCCAACGCAGCAACACAGTGCCCATCCCTCCTGGAAACACCTCTCCTCACTGCGACAAGACATGTGGATCTAGAAACGGGCTATGGAGCCACCTGCCGACTCACTACATTGAGTGCGCTACATTTTCACTACATTGTCCTCGGAAGACAATCTTACTCATTTGCGAGTGATTGCCTATCATCATCATCATCATCATAAGATCTTTTAAAATCCCTCCTTTATCATCCCTTTGTCTCATTGGTGGTAACTTTCCACTCCCCTAATTCCAGCTCCCCTACCCACGAGCCCATTCAAGCAGTTGAACAGCCTGTTTTATCAAGCCACTTACATCTCAGTAGTAGCCCATTAAGATTTAATGATAATAATAATAACAAGTCAAGTAATTGTCCCAGACCTATCTTAAAAATGAAAGTGCAGCCTAACGTTTTAAGTATTTTAGTGTTAGGTGTCTTAAGGCTGGGCAAGAAAGATCAGGAGAAGAGAGTTAGCTGGTAGAAGCATCAACTCCCAAGAACGTGACCTATTAACCAAGTTCCTCGGAGCCTGTGTCCCCCAATTTAAAATGCTGCCTCGCCAATAGATTTGCTAACCAGCAAGTATATGGTGCTAAGCAAAAACCTGTAAGTGAAGTTTACCAGCTGACCACATTCTGCTTCTTATACCTTAATGTCAAGTTCCTGTACTCCCTGACTGGGCTGTAGAGACATGATCTGCAGCTTTCAACACAGTGAGAAATTAATTAGATTACAGTGTATGCACAGCATTGTTCCAGGGAACAAGAACTGGGGTCCAGCTTGTAGCTAGGGAATAGAAAGAGACAAGAGCTAGGCAACTTGGAGAACAATTCAGCTGAGACCTGGGAGCGAGCGAGGTTAAACTATTGATATTACTTACAAACTTCTCTGCTTCCTTTCTTTGGAGAGCTGTTATCTCAAAACTAATCATAGCTGAAAACAATCATCCACAAGTGCTACGATGATTATTGTAGTTTGTTCAATTATGAGAAATAGTGTGTGTAGATAGATTATCAATAAATGGGAACTTTGCTACCCTAATGAAAGAGCACACTACTGTTGTCACAAGGATTCAAGGATTGCTGGAGTGGATTGTGGCCCCCTCATGTGCAGAGCGCCAGGAGCCCTAGCAATGAGATAAACTATACTGCACCATTGAATTGATGTTTCTGCAGCAGGGGAGCTCTTTTAGTTAGTCTTTAAAATCAGGACTTTTTAGAATAAAAATATCAGCAAGGGTTAATTGAAGGTAATTACCATAAATCTTCACTTAGTAGCCATCCATAATTAATAACTGTATACTAAATAACACATTTGTTCAGTAGCAGCAATTTAATCATGAAGGTTGCAGGGAGCACTGATTACATGTAATATAAATCACAGCTTCTAAACAAAGAGTACAAGCACCCAAGGTCAGTGTTGGATGATTAAAGGAGTTTAATTCCTTTCTGTTTATTCAGGGGTTTCCACAAGAACCACTGTTTTTATTAGCAATGTTTTCTTGCCTGCTCAGGAGGCCTTGGCAAACCTGTCACTCTGGTAATCATCAAAGGGAAGAGTAGGGAAAACTAGCATTTCTTAAAAATAACCTGAATCTCTGCCAATTGGTGACACACTAAAGAATCAAAGAGAGACTTGTATATTCTCTCAGGTGTGAAACACTCTGTTGGTAACAATTAACTAATTCCATATGGCTGACTGTAATGGTCAAGCACCCCCTCCCCACCCCCACATATAACTGCTGATGAAGTTAGGAGGAGGGTTTTCTTTATGCTCTCTGTCACTGATAATTAAGATAGAAGACAACTCCCCAAGGGTTGACCCATTACAGCTAGGAAAAATACTCTGGTGGTTATTAACTTCAGTCTTAACAGCTAGTGCACAATAGTCAAGTCTGAGCCTATATAAGGAAATTTCTCTGTATGAACATCTCAGGACTGAAAAATAAATCAGGTATGTTCAGTCTGTAAATACTTACTTATACCTGTTTATAATATTACTTTACTTTAATGCCTGCTTTGGTTTAAGGGCTGACTTTTGGAAACGCCTGTTCTATTTTTTTCCTTTCTACAGCTATTTGGTTAACTTGGATATTTCTTTTGTTCCTGCGTCCTTAAAAAAAGTAGGGGGGGGAAAAAGTAAAATGTGACTTCTTGATTTAATACCAGGATGCTTATTGGAATAGTACACTACTACTGACCTAATCAAAATTGAACTAATTTTCAAATGATCTGACATAAATTAAATCTTTTCACAAAGCAAACACTCTTATAATAAGAAAAAAATTCCTTATAGGTACACATTTGTCCAGGGATATATGTGTTCTTTCAGTAATAGATGGGGAAACTTCTATTGCTTGAAGAAATGTTTGTAAAAAATGAAAGTACTTCTTGTGTATAATGACCTTAAATATGTTGTAAGGTACTTGAAGGACTTAGTATTGCATCTCTCTGGGATGTTGCATCTCTACAGAATGTTGCCAAATAAAATGTATAACAGAAATGTTCATAAATAGCTTATTTATTAAAAAATATTAATTCATAAGGGGGGGAGACAAGTGGTTTCTTGTATGATAAAGCTGAAATGTTTAGAAATCCTTCCTGCCACCTCTTCCTTCCATGCAGCCTCTTCCCCCCCCCCCCCCAGCTCTTCATATGATATTTATTTATGTGGTGCATTTCAATCTATTGGCTATTAAAGTGTCTGCCGTCTACCTGAACTTACTTGTCTCAACCCCTCAAACTGGTTCAAAACAATCAATGGTAGACTTTACTATTTGTTTGAAAAATGTATTAAAAACAATGTAATTCATTATTCTCTCTCTAGCATATCCTGCAGTCTTTTCTGACTGACATTCATTTTATACTGGTACGTGTCTCAGCCTCCCTGTCTCTCTTTTATGTCTATTGAAATTGGGACAAAAACCCAACTATTCTTAGGAGTAGCCTTGCAGAAGACACGTGTGTGTCAAAAACTATGATGATTACAAATTAATGTTAAAAGAAATGTATCTAATCACAATGTTCTTTGTAGTAGCAAGGAGTGCAAGTGAGTGCAGAATTCAAACTCCTTTGAATCTTTTAAATAAAACAATGAACCCAAACCTCTATATCTATTCCACTGATGTAGTCAAAACCTAAGAACTGTAATCTCTCTTGCATAAAAGGTTGAGTATTTGTCCTTTAATCTATCTGGTGGAAGTCACCTGGTGCTTGCTTCTTAAAACAAGAAAAAAACAAAAACTTCATTGCATAGTAAGTGCCTTCAAAATAAAAGGACCTAAAATTTTGGAACAAAGGACTGGAAAGGATCCCCTCACCATAGTACCCACTCCCTTGAATTAATAGGCAATTGTTAACTGAAGGAATCTCCTGGAATTGCCAGTTCAAACCTTCACCCACAGGTACAAGAATCAATAGATGGAATACCAGTAACACCCTGTAACAAGTCATTGGTAAAACCAGGGGAGATGAGTGCATTGCCAATACTGTACCACTGCCATGACAGGGAATTAGTTGGCAAAGCAGTTTTTTGATCTTGAACAACTTAATCTTGTACTTCTATTCCCTGATCTTTAAAATGGGAAGCAGACTTAACAGTTGTGGATCTCAGACTTCCTCACAGAACCTTTTTGTTGTTGTTGTTTTTTGTTTTTTAGATTTGTTCTTGCTTGTTTGTTTTTAATAGAAAACAGCCCCTACAAAAAACACACAACACCCCCCTCCCCACCCCAAACAACAAAAACCTAAGAATTGTTAAATATAACCATGTATTGGCTTTAGGATTTTTTGGCCCTGGTTGTAGTACTGATGGAAAATGCAAGGAATGTAAATGACATGAGATATTTAATCAGTATAAGTAAGATTGGGGGTCCAATCCTGGCTCCACTGATATCACTTAAAGTTGTTGTTGATGTCTGAATTTAAGACATCACCCTAATCCAATAAAGAATACTTAAGAAACCTGAAATGGAGTTCAGGACTCTTTCTCTGGTTAAGGAATGACTTCATGAACAGCATGAAAGATGCAGCACTCTGAAAGACTTTAAGTGCTTGTGAAGTGGCAAAAGAAATACCTATGAAACAGGCTCTGACAGATGTAATATTTCCTCCCTCCCCCAGTTCTTACTTCTTGGCAACTGTTGATCCTCTGGATCATGGTATATGCATAAGAGGTCTATGCAGCCTAGGCAAGAATATGGAGGAGAGGAGGCTTCCCTAGATCTCCCCTCTCTCCCCACCTTTAGACCACTGAGACAGAGTCCAAAGGCCAGACCAAATCCAGATGTTTGGTACCTCAATGATTGTAGCTTCTGCAAGAGGGCAACAGATTAGAGCTGCTGCTAACTGCCTAATGCCTCAGCGAGGATGTGTTTGTCAGGGTGATGTTTCTTAGCCTTTCTCCAACCAAGGAGTACCCACAAAGCAGTGGGGCCTAGGGTTTTGAGGCATGGTATACTCGCCTTACTCTGGAGGTTGCCACATTGTGGTATTTTATAGGAGCTACCCTACCACAAGTAGCCCCACAATGCACTGAGCCTTCCAGTCAGATGTAGTTTACAGTAGTACCAAAAGGATTTGTGTCCATTGAACTAAGTTTTGAAACTATCCACCTTATTTCTAATCCTCTGCATATAGTCTTTTAATAATTTAGGATCTTGGATCAATTTGCATAATCTAAAAATATATTGGCTCACCCTCAGACGTATGTTAGCCTAACTACAATAGTGCAGTATTAAAAGTAATGGTCAGCCTTTGTTGAAAAAGAATACCTTTATCCACTACCTTAAGTACCACCAGCAAATTTTTGTCATATAAAGTAATTATAATAAATCTGTTAACACGTACCACTGACCAGTTGTCTGCGTACCACTGGTGGTATCTGTACCACAGATTGGGAGCTGCTGTACTAACTTATCATAATGGTTAATGAACTGTCAGTGCTGTGAGCTGTTGCAAGAATAGCTGTTTCCAGTTGTGCAAGTATCCATCTGTCCATGGAAAAAAAGCAACACATAGTAACCTCCAAAGACCATGATGTACAGTACCTGCCTGGCAGGACCAGAGCAAAAAATCTCCTGATTAGATCCTGGAGATCTTTTTGTATTGCCTCAGAAAAAATAGCCTCCTATCTCTTTCCTTTTCACCCCCAGGAAATGGTATAATTGAATGTTATCGAATCAAAGTATGAAAATAAACATGTTTTGTAGATATTTAACTATGTCGACAGAAAATAGTTAGATCTTGCCACCTAGGCTTTCTTTTTTGTTTTATGAAAAATTTTAGAGCAAAATCTATCATTTGTTTGGTTCCCTCCCTTCTACTCCCTACCAAATAAACTTGATTTCAGCAGCTCCTGTAGTATCTGTTGTAGTACTGTAACTATGTTTGTTTTTTTTAACTTGAAACCTTTCATGTTGAGTAAAATGAGCACTATTTTTTCTTTTTAAGGGCTGTACTTTGTCCTCAGAACTTCTCCTAATAGCTAATGGAAGTACAGCGTTCCAAAGCTAGGTTTAGTTCCCTTTTCCATTTGATCCAGTGGAATAGGATGGAGACCATGGAAATTATTCATCTTACATGCTATGATAGTCAGTTAGAGGGAAACTCTCTAAATTTAGGTGTTTGGGTAACCACCTGGCATAATGTGACTTACTGCATATTCAGTTTTATCAGGGAGAAGTAAGTATGTCTGTTTTGGTTTTTGACATTTTTTTGGAAGTAGAAGATGTGACTGAACAACCAAGCTACTAGGTATTGCATGTGAAACTACCTTAAACTTTTAAAATTCAGAAAGTTAGGGGGTGAAGGAGTTCACTCAGTGCATTTTCAAAAGGGTGGGGGGGAGCTGTTGCTGTGAACCATGCAATACAGGAAACTTATAGCAAAACAAGTAATCAAATGCTTCATCCCAGGTTAAAGTTAAGGTGATGTAGCTCACTTTTTTTTATCGCTACAGGCTTGTGGAGATGTAGCAGTTATAATGTTAAAAACTTCTGCAGGCTCTGAATCGGTAGCTCTGCCTCCACTCTTGAAACTGCTCGTAAACATTGTTCCATTTCCTTACTGTAATAGCTGGGAGGGGAGGTGGGAGGCAATTGAGTATCTGGACTTCCAGTCCTGTAACTTTAACCATAAGACCATTTTTATCTTCTAGATAAGTGGTCAGGATAAACTACCCAGACATCTGCTGGGAGACGCAGACAGCAAAGTCCCACCGCTCACGCAGGTTTCTAACCTGTGTACAGGACCTCCACCTGACACAGGAGGTACACGGTCCCACTAGGGGGAATGCCATACTGGATCTGGTATTGGCAACGGGGGATGACATGGTTGGGGACCTACAGATCGGTAGCCATCTGGGGGACAGTGATCACCAAATAATAGAATTCACCATAAGACGTCGAGTGGGTAAGGTAACTAGTAGGGTGAAAGTGCTAGACTTTAGGAAAGCTGATCTCAATGAACTCAGGCGATTAGTCAAGGACGCACTGCAGAGTAGGAGTTTTGAAGTGATGGGAGCCCAAGAAGGGTGGCTGTGCCTTAAGGAAACGATCCTTGTGGCTGTGCCTTAAGGAAATGATCCTTCGGGCACAAAGAGAGATGATCCCAATGCGAGGAAAAAGAGGGAAAGGGGCCAGGAGGAGGCTTCCTTGGCTGACCAGAGAAATCCAGGGCAGCCTAAGGGCCAAAAGGGGAGCACATAAAAAGTGGAAACAGGGAGAGATCACCAAAGACGAATATACCTCCTCTGCTCGCGCTTGTAGGGAGGCAGTTAGATGGGCCAAAGCTACCATGGAGCTGAGGATGGCATCCCAAGTAAAGGATAACAATAAATTGTTTTTTAGATATATAGGGAGTAAAAGAAAGGCCCAGGGAGGAATAGGACCCCTGCTAAATGGGCAGAAACAATTGGTGACGGACAGGGGGGACAAGGCTGAACTCCTCAACGAGTTCTTTGCCTCAGTGTTCCTAAGCAAGGG